TGTGTGTCCCTGTGTCCCCTGCCCGGTCCCTCTTCACGCCGGGGCCCCTCGGGCCGCCGTCCCAAGTGTCCGCTTTCCCGCACCCCGATCCCCCCGCGGGGGCTCCAGCAGCGCCCGGGGGGATCCCCACGGGCAGCCCCGAGGCCGGACGGCAGTTCCCGCGGGGGTGGATAACGGGCCAGCCACGCTGTTTGCCCCCTGAGGGTCCGGCCCTGCGTTTTGGTGGGTCATGCCCTGTCCGTGCTGGGGCTCTGGAGAGCGAGGGTTAACAAATGGACTTGTTGTGCCTAGGCCGTGCACACACGATAGTCAAACTGCCTGGGTTTTTTTGTGGAAATAGTATTCGGGTGTATAATCAAAACCTACAATTGTAACTGTTGTCAGAGTGCAGGGTTTTAATAGGGGTTTTGGTTTTCTACAGGTACACTGGAAAATGAAGTTCTAAACTAAACCAAGCTTTGTCTGTCTGATGGAGTTGTTCCTTCTTTTCTGTGTGTGTGAGAGGGGGTTTAGTGCCCTCGGGATGGAGTCATAGGCGTGTAACCTCTGCTGGAGTGCTTTATTCAGTAAAATACAAGCAGGCTCCACAGAGCAGGGTGATCAAGCACACAGCGCTCTGTAGTAATGGGACAAGAAGTACAGTTTTGGATAGAACATTGTACTCTTATGCTCCAAGAGAAGGTTAATAATAAAGTACAAGATCATTTATAATTTTGTAAAACTACAAATTTATTTGTGCTATACAATATAGGTATAAGTACACTTTTTTATATGTACTATGCAATATGTATTTAGTATTTGTACTTGTAAAGGTAAAAATGATAGATAATTTCTAAGACATCAGTACAAATGCTACAGCCTCAGAGGGGGGTTAAAACATTGTGAGGACTTTGTCAGGATGGACCCTGTAGTAATACTTTAACCAGCATGATTTAGGGCAGGGCATTTAACAGGGAAAAATTTATTACAAAAGAACAGCTTACAAGCATGGTCATTATAAAATAAAATAAAATACCTTGGTGATTTGCAGCCTTGCAGCTCCTTTGGGGGATGTAATGAGGTTGTATAAAGGTGGTTTGATGAAACCCTTGGGAAATTCTGGTTCAGGGGAACATTCAGTGAAATTAAAAATGGGAAACTACAATAAAATTAGAGTTGGATATGTGTGAGAGGTGATTCAGCTGGCTGCTGTGTCACCATCAAAGATATTTATTGTTAGATGTTAGACAACTTTCTCAGTTGTCCTTCATTCTGCAGTGCTGGACATTTAACTTGTTTTTCTTATGTTGTTTTTATTTTGGACATGATTTACAACAGAGCAGCCTTTTCATTAGTTTGTTACCATGTGCTTAAACGTTTTTTGGATCCAATCCTGGAAGCTGTTCTGTGGCAGTTTTGTCTGATGTCAAGTCTGCTTATTCGTCTTGTGAGGGAATGTTAATTAAACAGTACATGGTGTAAGCTGTGGTTAAAACATCCTGAATTGGAAAGCATTACATGGAAGGAATATCAAGTTCTTAGGCTGTATTTAGTAGGTCTGTACACTTCTTACTTCCAGTTTTGTGCTAATCTGATTTTCTTTACTATCAGCATCTGTCAGATGAACATTCTTTAGTCAAAGTCACATGGAAACACATCTTGCTTATTACATAAATTACTGTTCTCTGCCTCCCTTGCTCAACTGATGGGCACAAAATTTATATATCAGCTTGAATTGTCTGAAAATAAAGGTACGTTTTGCTAATCTGAGCTGGTCAAAATTGCAAGTCTGTTGCAATGGCTGTTTCCTAAGCCATGGTCACAGGTGACACAGCAATGACTAACCCCCAGCTAAACATTGATACCTCTCAAGGGCAGGATGCTATAAATCATTAATGGCTGGCAGTAACTGCACCTCTTTGTAGTGGTGCTCTCCTTGGGTAAGCCTAAGCTACAGGAGGAGCAAAAGCACTTTCTGATTTGATTAGGTGGTGGTGCTGTCTCATTTAGTAATGAGTCTAAAATTACAGCTGCATTCTGTTGATGGTTTTGTTGTCTGCAAGTTGGAGTTCTGGTGAAGTTTTGCCATTCTCTGGGGACTTTTCCCCTGAGATATCCTCATTGTGTGATGATTTCCCAGAGCCACAGTCCATTTTAATGGTTGACCAATGGCTCCTCCCCATCACTTTGGATGAGGTGAGAACCTCATCCAAAGTGATGAAACTGTTGGAAAAAACATCTGAAAATTTTTACTGAACCAACATGTCCTACCGTGTTGGAATCAACTGACTTGAGGAATGTGCTGTTCTTCTGGACTACACTCACATGGATACTATTTGTTTATGGTTTTGTGTTTATTCATAGACTAAAAGTTGGTTTCTATTTTTATTCTGATAAGGCTTCTCTACTTGATTCAGGTAATGATGAGAACTTGCTCACAAGATCTCCAGAACTTCTGCAGTAATTTCAAGTTTGGGGTTGGTTTTGGTTTTTTTTTTTTTACTTCTGCAAAGCTGTGCTCTAACCAGCTGTTTGTCTTTCATTTCTGCTGGTTGTTCATTGAACTGAAATACTGCACATTTGTCCTTACTTTGTCCTGTTTGTTTTGGACCATCTCCCCAGTTTGTCAAAAATGAGTTAAGGACTTAGGTATTGTCCTCCAACTTGTTTTTGTCTCTCCTCAGCTTGGTATTAACCTCTTCTTTTTTTTTTCAAAAGCTGAGGCTTAAGGTTATTTCTGTTGAATTATCTGACAGGGATTTTTTTTTTTTTCTCTTAGAGTATTCTCTGTTCAACATATATATCATCTCATAGGAGACTTTATAGTTTTTCCTGAGCCTTGATTCCTTGACACATATTTAAAGCTTTTCTTTCTTTTCAATAGCTAAAAGAAATTAATTTTATCTCTTATGTAACTGAAGACACAAATCTGTGCTGATCTTGAAACAACTTTGTAATGAGCTGCTTCTCTGTCTGGGAACATGCTGGTCATTTTTAATTCCAGGGACTTCTGATTACCTTGAAGAACTTCCCAGATTCTTTGGAGAGGTGTTTATTAGTGAGTGTGAGCTCCCTGTTTAGTGTAATATGCTCCTCCAGATATTCTTGCAGGGACTTTAAAACACTTCAGTTACTGAAAAAAACATTATAAAAACCACTGTGGGGGCCCTGGGAAAGCACCACCTTGGTCAGCAGTGCTGACCACAGAGCAGGAGCTGCAGAGAGCAGAGAGATGGTTCAAAGCACTGGCTCATCTTCTGGACAATTCCAGGACTTTCTTGACGTTAAGCAGAACTCCAGTAATTTTATGTTCAACATGGTATCTTCTGAGAGAAGAGGGATTGTAGCAAAGCTTCTGTTTTCCTTTGAGCCAGCTGAAACCATAATTTGAATTTAAAGGAAAGCTCCATTACCTTTGTGAATACTGAGATTTTGCCTCTCTGTCTCTACCACAGAGATTGAATTTCTCTCTGGCTGAGTTTCCTTCAGTTCCAGTATGGAGATGAGTCGGGAGAAGCTGTGTGCCAGCAAGGCTGATGGGAGCTCAGACTCTGCCTACCACTGCTTGGCGTGTCATGATGATGAGGAATGGGGCAGCATGAGCCGGGGGCGAGCCAAGTCACGGAGTTTGTCAGCTTCACCAGCCCTTGGAAGCACCAAAGAATTCAGGTAAGGCACCTGCTTCTTCCCATTGTTGTTAAAATTAAAAAGTTAACTAGATTTTATTATTTTTTTAATATGACCATGAGGGATTTTTAAAATGTGTCTCAGAAGGTTCAAAATGAAGGTGGGGAGTTGAAGTTGGGATGTTGACTAAGAGCAGATTCAGAATCAAGGTTTCATGGCTTGTCAAAACAGTTGTCTGCAGAGCTCACAGTCTCCAAAAAATAATTAGTCAACAGTAGAGACAATTCTTCAGACTTTTACAAAATCTCAAGCTAGAGCTTTAGTGCTGTGTGTTAAAAACCTGTCTGTTAGGTTACATGTGAGACAGCAAAAAGTAAATTTGTGTTTGCAGACATTTTCAGAGCAGTGAGAAACACCCATTCTTTTTTTGGAGCCAAGTTTCTGATCTCATTGCAAGGCTCCTGTCATGTGAACAGGGTGGGTAGAACTTCTGATTTGGTGATCTTTGAACCCACTGTAAATATTGAACGTCAGGCAGAGGCAGCGCTGTGTCTTGATCTTGTGGGGAGCACAGCAGGACTTCACTTTCCTTGTGCTGTGATTGTCCCTAAAGCATGGGCAGAGCCACAAGGGTGCTGCTCAGCAGATGGAATTCCTGTTCAGAGCTCCTGCTTTGCTGGTAGGAATGTTCTTGGGAGGCAAGAGCACACGGGTGAGGCTGAAGAGCACAGGGGGCAGCTTTGTGGTGAAGGGAGGCAAACTAAAAGCCTTGAAAGGTTAGGAAAATAACTGCTCTGTGTTTGTAGTTCAGTGTATTTGATACTTCTGGGAAGTGTTTTCTGAGGGCTGTGTTCTGTTGTAGCTCTGGTGATGTGTGTATGGTCAATATGTAAGACTTGATATTTAAATTGTGCTGTAAAACTGGTGGTTTTCCCTTCTCAAACCTGTTGGTAAATCTGCACAGAAGATGAAGTGGTCTAAATTTTTGTGTATTATTTCCTAGCTAAACAGCTTCTTTTTCAAACAGAAGTGCTCTGTCCGTTGTGGGTTTGAATCAGGCTAATTGCTTCTGAGATTTTCTGTCATTGGGATGCTCTGTAGTCATTCACTGGCTGTCTTCAGTGCTAAATTGTCTCAAGGCATTTTGCAGGTTGTCAGGAAGTGCAGCTCTCGGCCTTCCTCTGTGGTGTTCAGCTCAAAGTAGCTGCCCAGCTGCTGGGAACTGATAAGTAGATTTCCCTAAAACATGTATAATTTCCAGGGCATTGCTGCTTGTTCTTAGCAAAGGCAGCCTGACTGTGAATAACTTGAAATTCTTTTTATTCAGGCGTTTATTGAACACTAATAAAACCAAGTGAAATCTCAGGTAAAATTTGCACCGGTTATTAATTAGGGCTTGCACAGGAAACTTTTGGAATGTCATGAAGGTCAGGTGCCTCACGTGGAAACAGAATTTGAAATTTGGCCAGTTACTGGGAGTGGCATCAAATAATGACCTGTGTTGGGAGAAGGAAAAAATTACAGTTATCTGGGAGAAGCTGGAGTGGTGCAAGTGGGAGGTGATTCTGCCAGGGTGTTATTTAACCTTCCTAATTCCAAGGGTAATTGTTCACAAGTAGATAGAGACTTATCAACCCTTTGCCCACATTGACACATACATTAATCTCTTGTTATGTTAGCCCTTGCTCATTTTTCTGTTTTAGTATAAATAAGGTAAACTTTATAAAACACTAAGGTTCTTACCTGACTTGGTCAGTCATGGCTGGACTTAGAGACGGAAAAGAAATTGCCCTGGTTTTGTTACTGGAATTCATATCTTAGACTGGCATATTTAATTAGGCAAGGAACAAATAAGATGTGGCTGTTGTTCCTTAATTATATTTTTAACGTGTGATCTGGTTTTGATTTTTATTAGATATCTGGGGGGTTTTTTAGCTTTATGTCTGAGTCATCAGGCTGGTGTGAGCTACTTTGTAACACACAGTAGTAGGCGCTGCAGTGATGATTGTTACAAGCAAGATGTTTTTGAGTTAAGCCCAGGAAAGAAATGTTTCTCCTTTCTTTATAGTGGAAGAATTCTAATAGTGGTTATATGATGCTTCAACAGTTCCATGAATTGAGCAAATTTTGCTCCCAGTTGCAGCTTTGCTGGAGGAGTTTGGGAGGGAAGTGAGGCAGAAGAGTTCTGACTCTCTCCAGATAATCTCATCCTACAGCAAGGAATAACCCTGTGTCCTGGTGGGATTCAATTTTGAGAATAAATGATACCTTAGACCCCTGTTTATTTGAAGACAAAGATTTTATTAGAGAAATAAATGGGAGGAAATAGCAATTTTTTTTTCAGCCTGTTTAAAATTGCAGCCTGATACTGCAGATACAAATCTCCATGTGCCTTAGAGTTGAAGAATTTGATTAAATTTATTAAGGGTGCCTAAATGACCATGACAAACATCACTGTGAATTGACCACGCCAAAAATATATGAAGGTGTTGGAGACCTCCTTGTAAATGCTTGTCAAGTCACACTGAAACCCAATGTCTGTGTTAATACATTATATTAATAATAACATTGCTGCCCTCAGTAGGGGAAGAGCACTCCCTGAACTGTTTTAGCTATATTTATACCATATTCAGTCATCATAAAAAATGTGCTTTTGGGTAAGAAGTAGCTTCGAGAAACACAGAATAAAAGTGTTCTTGTGCCTGCAGCAGTGAAACCGGTGTCACTTAGAAACTGATGCAGCCGTTGGAAATGTGAGAGCTAATCTGTAAAATTACCCTGCCGGGGAAGCACTCATGTAGGTTTTAGAAATGCACTTTGCCCTGTATTGCTTTTGTGCAGCTGGTTCAAAGAAGGGTTTGGTGTTTGAGCAGCCAGACAGACCCAGTTTGTCACCACATCTCTCTTACTCGCTGATTATTTGCTCTACCTTCAGGAGAACACGCTCCTTGCATGGACCATGCCCAGTGACCACGTTTGGACCAAAGGCCTGCATGCTGCAGAATCCTAAAACGATTATGTGAGTACTCATCCCATCAGTGGCACTGTGCTCCTTCTGTGGCAAATAAAACTACTTTGCTTTTCCTCTGATTCCATTTTTTTCACCTTCTAATCAGCATTGTTTTTATTTTACCTGGTATTCAAAGGTTTTCATGTTGCTTGATTGCCATCCTGGGGTCAGCTTTGCCAAGCTGGCATGGTCTGCAGTCCATAGTTTGGTGTCTAGAATGGCAACTCTCATATTTCCAACTCAATAAAAATTATTCTAAGCACTGCAAGGGGAGGAAGAGGAACTGTTCTGTGTGCTGTGAAATCTGAAGGAAGTCTTCTTCCTCCCTTGGTGATGATGTTTGAATTTGTACTTTCAATTTTTGTTTGGTCTCTGGTGCTTTTAGTTATAGCCAGTTTGTTTTTAGACTGTTGATAAATGTGGAAATAAGGGCTGGTTTCTGTGTAGTGGGCAAACAAACATTTTAATTTTGTAGGTTGGGTGGCATGAAGTGTTGCTTTCTACACCAGGTGTTGTCTACTTTATAAAAGGGGTCTTGACTTGGCCAGGTGAGGAATTTCAGGGTTTAACCAAGGTAGTGGTCCCTGGTTTTGCGGGGCCCTGGCACAGAGAAGCTGTGTTGCCCCACTTGGAAGTGTCCAACACCTGGTTGGATGTGGCTTGGAGCCACCTGAGATTGTGGAAGGTGGGACTGGATGGGCTTTAAGGCCCTTCCAACCCAAACCAATCTGTGATTTTTTTTTCCCCCTTTAAAAAAGTTTTATTTAATTGCTCTTCCAGTTAACTATAAGACATTGCAGTCAATATTTATTTGCCTAAATAAACTTTCCTGGTAATTTTCCTGGGCAAGTGTAACAACAAATCCTTCCCTTTGGCAACTCAGAGCTTCCTCATTCTCATTACATCTGGTGCTGTAAAGAGTCCTGGGGAGCTGCAGTGCAGTGGAAAGCCAGCCCAGACTGTATTTGCACACCTGACCTGGGGCATTGCTTCTCACAGGGGCTGGCCCGGGCCAGGTATATAAGGACAGGGAATGGATTGTGCCAGGAAAAAACTTGGGCAGGCAGGGCTGGGAGCAGAGCTGCCCCCAGGCTGCTGAAGGCAAGGACTGTTTGAAAAGCAAATTGTAAATTACTTTACTACACACAAGGTTTTGTGGTTTTTAAAAACAAGCAAAACCTTGCTGGTGGTTTTTTCCCCTCTGCTGTGGGTAATTTTGTTAAACTCTTCTCACTGGAGGGATTATTTTTAACAGAAAATTAGTTTTTTTCGTGCAGGCATAAATCAGGGAAAGTTGTGTGTCTCTTTCAATACAACCAGCAGCTCTAGAACTTGCAAACCTGCTTTTTGATGAGCAGATGAATTGAGTGAATACTCAGTGAAAAAAGCATCAGGGGCTTGTGCTCTTGTGAGAAGAGAAAATCGAATACCTGTTTATTTTTCTTGAAATGGGATTTTCTTTATGAAACCGTCCCTCAAAGATCTGGAATACAAGTTTTACACAAGATTTTTTGTAAAGCCTCACAACTTTTTATCGGAACTAATTGAAATCTTCAATAGAAGAAAAAAAAAAAATTTTTCAGGGAAAAATGTATTATTTTGAGGTTGCAGTTATTAATAACTGACGAAAGCCTCAGCCTTTTATTTTATTTGGACCTATTTGCCTGAGCCCTGGAAAGAAACATGAAGATCTTAAAACAAGTTATGAATAACCTTTCATTCAGTATAACTGCATGGAATTGGTGAGTAGAGCTGAAACAGTCAGACTGGTTTTTGTGTGAATGAAGTTGGTGCTAGTTCTGGGTTTATTCAGTGCTGCAATCCTTAGTTCTTGTCAGCAATATTGATATTAAAGCCCTGCATTATCCTTTAGTTTCTGCTGTGTTTGTATCTCAAATGTGAGCACTGAAATGAAATTAATTTTAACTTTACATTAAGCTGTTTGATGTAGAGTATTCGATAGGGAAAAAAAAAATCTTGCTATGACTTTTTCAGATCTTCTAATTGAATGTTTCTCCTTTGAGTCAGCTCTAAAACAAGAGGAAAGTAGCACTGTGGTGTCAGTCAGTTGAGGAACTTTATTTGAGAGCTTTTGTGATGTTTCTTTTCAGGTCCCTGTTGGCACAGGTCATTCACAGGGCAGCAGGGACCAGAAGTATTGATTCTGGGTTATCACCTGCACATAGTAAAGGACAGAAACCTCACTGCAATGTGAATTATTGCCTTGCCCTCAGAAACACCAATGCAATGTGAATTACTGCCTTTCCCTGCCTGGTATGTAGGGCTGTGTGGCCTCCATACTGGAGGATGTATTTTTTCCAGGTCAGAAAGGTGTCAGATCAAAATGTGGTGATGTTTGGGGTTTTTTTGGTCCCCCAGGCACATTCAGGATCCAGCAAGCCAGCGGTTGACATGGAACAAACCTCCCAAGAGTGTCCTTGTGATTAAAAAGATCCGTGATGCCAGTCTGCTGCAGCCCTTCAAAGAGCTCTGTGTATACCTCACTGAGGTGAGAAAATATGAATTACACCTCAGCTCTCTCCAGTTGCTGATTGTGTGCACAATTTGTGCAGAGTCTTTAAACCCACTGCCACAGGGTATACTAAAAAAGATGCAGAAGTTAAGATCAGTATGAAGCTTAAAACTATTAAAGTAAAAACTTCCATTCTGTTTGCAGTTCTAAATTATGGGAATGGGATATAAAAAGCTTAAGCCTTTAAGCTTTGAGCAAACAGTGCAATGTTGCTGTATCATGTAATCTGCATGCCAAGCTTTAGTTTATTAAATGGTCTGTGCATGCTGCAAAATTCTGTTTAGGATCAGACCACACATTAAAAACACCCAGCAGATGCAGAACACTAACGTAAATAATATTTATATGTCTTAAATTAATGGAAATTATGGAAGAGTCAAGCGTGTTGTTAGGAGGTCCCTCACAAGCTTCTTTTCTTTCTCTTCAGGAGAACAATATGATAGTGTATGTAGAAAAAAAAGTATTGGAAGACCCTGCTATAGCTAATGATGAGAATTTTGGACCAGTGAAGAAGAAATTTTGCACCTTCAGAGAAGGTATGGAAATGATATCTTGAAGGGACAGTTAGAGTGTAGTTTTTTTTGGCTTGGTGCTTTCTTAGTTGTTGGGTCAAATTTGTAAAACTTTTGTCTTTTGCAGAGTTGTTGTTGCAGCTTAGTTGTGCTTTTTTATATATTTGTGAGGGAGTGTTTGCATGCCGCAAACTGTAATTTTCCGTCCTATTTTTTGTTAGGAAATTGATTGTGGATACAATTTAATTCAAAACTTTTTGTTTCAATGTTGCTTTTAGACTATGATGATATCTCCAATCAGATAGACTTTATCATATGCCTGGGAGGAGATGGGACCTTACTTTATGCTTCTTCACTTTTCCAGGTTGGTTCTGATGGGAAATAGACCCTAAAACCTTATCCTTTGGAAGTATTTAAAAGTGCTTTTTTCCCCTCTTTGTTACCGAGTTCAGCATTTGTCTTTCGTTCTTCATTCCCTCTTTTTTACCTTGTGAAAAGAATGTCAAATGTGTTGGTTTTTTATTAAGCACCGTTGAAGTTTCATCAATAGTCACAATATTTAGAGGCAAATAGTTGAAGTATGGATTACGTTGACTGAGTAGCTTTAAAACTCTTTTCTTTATTGATAGGGTAGTGTACCTCCAGTTATGGCTTTTCATCTGGGATCCCTTGGATTTCTTACTCCATTTAATTTTGAGAATTTTCAGTCCCAAGTCACTCAGGTTATAGAAGGTAAATTTAAGGGGACAAGGTGTGGTGTTTGTTTGTTGATTTTTCTTAAGCAGCTCTTTTAGGGTGACCCTTAAGATTTGAAACTTGAGAAATGTATCTGAGATGAAGAGAAATCTTAAATTAACAGAAATGTATCTTAAATTACCACTGATGTATCTTAAATTAACAGAAGTTTTGCATTGCATTGACCCATACAGTGCTGCTCTATGTACTGCTCTGTAAAGGAAAAAGGCTAAGAAATAACTTTATGGAGTAAATAAGTGTAAGATAATGTAGAATTTATGTTAAATGGCAACTAAACATAGAAATGAAGTGCAGTGTTTAAATACTGAAACACAAAATAAAATAATTTTTTTTTAAAAAAATATAAAAATAAAATATTTGAGGAAATGAATTCTTTGTTTCTTCAATATGAGGTTATTTGAGTTGCATCCAAAGTAGATTCCTGAAAAGATTTATAAAACTCTCACTAGAATGTTATCTTTTAATTAATACACGTTTTAATGCTTTCATTTTCTTTAAGCTTAGCTTTTTTCTTATTGAAGTTCATATGAGCCCAACAGTGTTTTCCCATTTTAATCATGTCTATATAAAATTTAAATTTTCTTTTTACGTAATGAGAAAAGTGGGAAGGAGCTGGCTTGAAATTTGACTTTTATTTTTGCTCATTGGTACTAAAAATGAGTTTTGAGCTTCAGCCAAATGTAGCCAATTATGTTGTGAATGAAACTGGGAATATCAAAAACTCAGGAATAGATGGATGGCATTTCATAAAGTGTGTTAGTCATTGCTGGGGTTATTGCCTGTGCCAACATCTCATTTTTGTGTGTTTTCCCTGTGTTTCCCCTCCAGGCAATGCAGCTCTCGTTCTCCGGAGCAGGCTCAAGGTGAAGGTAGTGAAGGAGCACAGGGAGAAAACCACAGTGCAGAATGGGATAGAGGAAAATGGAGTTGTGTCTGTAAACCTGGAGAAAGAAGTGGGCAAGCAGATTATGCAGTATGAGGTCAGAGGACAAGACAAGCCAAAAGAGCCAATCTATTATTTGTAATTTGTACTTGTTTCATTAAATCTCTCCCCCAGCAGTGTGGGGCTGGCCCTTGCTGCTTCAATTCACAATGTGCTCTAAATGCTGAGCAACTGCTGCACACATTTCCTTTGTGCTGTCAGAAGTGCTAATATCATACTTTCCTATAGAAATAATTTCACAGATTTGTTTAGGCTGGAAGATATCTCCAAGCTTGAGTCCAGCCTTCCTTCTATTTTGAAAACAAAGTAGTAGTTCTAAAGTCACACACACCAAACATTTTTATACATGAAAAGCCCTGCATGTTGTTAGTGACCAGCTCCTAGGACTAATTCTTAACATCTCAAAACTTCAGCTGCACTCGCTAGGACAGAAGTGTAAAGAGTCTTAAATTTGGAGGTAGTAAATCAGCACGAACTTTTAGGAGACCTGGAAAACATGTTCTGTTTTTGACATTAATTTCATTGCCAAGGCAGCAGCAAGCAGGCTGGAGTAATGCTTGGTGTTACGGCAGGTCCTCAATGAAGTTGTGGTGGATCGTGGCCCTTCGTCCTACCTGTCCAACGTGGATGTGTTTCTGGATGGGCACCTGATAACCACAGTGCAAGGAGATGGTGAGTATTGCTGGAGCTGTCCCAGCTAAGGTCCAGGCCACTGGGTTTTCATGGAGGATTTTCTCATGGAAACAGAGTTCCAGTTCACTGCTGACAGCAAACACAAGTGTGCAAAGAATGGGTGTGTTCATTCCTACAGTGAAGCTTTAGGTGCTGAAAGATTTTGTTTATGGGCATGTGAGGGCAAGTAGATCTTTTTTGGGGTATTATATTTCAGGCTAAGTGTAAGAAATAGCTGAAAAGATTGACCTGGGATTTGCTGAAGGCAAACAATCTCAATTCATGAATGACAGGAGTTAATCTTTAAAGCTCTTATCCTTAAAGAAAAAAATGAAAGTCACTGTTACAAAAAATTGTGTAACCTGAGTTTGTGCAACTTCTGAAACCACGAGGCAGGATTGGGGTGGGTGTTTCTCACTTTGTGTGTGTTGGGCTTCAGTTGAGCTGCGAAATCCAAGTGGAGAGGTTCACTTGCCTAGCATGGGATTTATTGGTGTCCCCCAAAGCAGTCCGTGGTTCAGTGCTGATTGCCCTGCCTTGCCCTGTTTGCAGTCCCCGGGGGTGAGGGTGGGATGTGTTGGTGTTCCCCAGAGCAATCCCTGGTTCAGTGCTGATGGCTCTGCCCTGTTTGCTGTCCCCAGAGTGAGGGTGGGATGTGTTGGTGTGCCCCAGAGCAATCCCTGGATTTTAGAGCTGATGACCCTGCCCTGTTTGCTGTCCCCAGGGGTGATTGTGTCCACTCCGACTGGCAGCACCGCCTACGCCGCCGCAGCTGGAGCCTCCATGATCCACCCCAACGTCCCTGCCATCATGATCACCCCCATCTGCCCCCACTCCCTGTCCTTCAGACCCATTGTGGTTCCTGCTGGAGTGGAACTCAAGGTTGGCATCTGTGTTTTTATTTCTCCTTGAGAATTAAAAACTTCTGGAGTGGCCACAGGATTGTGAGGAGGGTGGGAAGTGTTGAGTGGCTCCTGCTTGCTCTCACTTGGAGCAGGATCAAACCAAGTCTGGTTCAAGATTGTGGCTTTCTTTAGAAGAATTTACCCACTAGTGGAATACTTTACACTTTTCCTGCTGGATTGTAGCTCTGGAACATTCTACAAAATGGCAATTCCTACATTTGCATTCTGAAAAATGTTCCATAATCTTGGCTGAAGTGCCTGTAAATGATCAGTTCTGAAGGGAATCAAAAATTCTCCTTTCATGCAGTAAGAAATATTGCAGATCTTAAGTATAAACTGGTAGCATTATCTGCAATTCAGTATTTAGATTTGTTAATGTTGTCTTGCAGAAAAAAGACATTTAATAACTGAATATAAATTAGACTTGGTTGATGGGTAATTTGGACAAATACTCTTGTGCAAGGAAGAACCCCTTTCTCCTTTTGTCTCTGTTACTGGCCTGCTTAAATAGGAAGGGAGCTGATTTGGAAGGGCTCCTAGGGGTGTTAGAAGATTAGCATTGAGAAATGAGCATCTTCTGGACTTTCTGTTCTTGTTTTACAACATAAATTCAAGGTTTATTCATGGCACTGCTCTCAGCCCACACCTTCATGTTGGTGGCTGTTACTGGCCAGTGGCTAATTCTTTAATTAGGAATGTAATTTAATTAGGAGCCAAACTTCCTAAATTTGACAGCTTTGGATTCATTACGTATTAAAATCTACTTTCTGGATCAGCTTTTTAATTTTCCTTGAAAGAGAAGCTAAGTCAGCTCCTGTAACTGAATTAAAGCATGAACTGGCTGGAACTGGAGGGTTTGTGTGGGTTATAAAAAAGGGATTTACTGCCTATAGAAAAATACATGTTTATAAACAAAAAAGAGAGGTTTGGAGCTTGAGTGGTTTTATTGCACTGCTGCCATGGACAGCTGAGAAATTCAGTGCAACTGTGGAGTTCCAAAAACTCAGCTCTGTACTCAAAGGGAGGATGGAGGAGGTGTTTGTTCCTTGTTCTAGAATTTTGGACCTGAAGTTCAGCTGATTCCTGTTTTTCAGATTATGCTCTCCCCAGATGCCAGGAACACGGCGTGGGTTTCATTTGATGGAAGGAAGAGGCAGGAAATATGCCATGGAGACAGGTCAAACCTTTTTTCTGATTGTGTTATCTCTAAATATAAAAAAATCCCAATTCATGCAGCTCCCTCATTCTCTAACATCTGCCAAAAGGGTTTTTGGCAGTGAAGAAAGAAGCTTTTATAAACCATAACACCTCCTAGAGCACAAACTGCACTATAAGGATTTAATTTCCAACTTGAGTTCTTTAGATCTTCCCATAAAAGCAAATGAAATGTTCAGACTCTGTAAACATTGCATGCTTGGCAAGGAAGATGGGCATATCTTTAGAAAACTGTAAATTTTAACTTCAAGATAAATCCTAAGAATTATGAAAGATACAAACCAACAGGAGCTGGCTGTGAGCATAGGTGCTGCAATACTCCACATGAATTAAACTGGGTTAACTTGGAGTGGTTGTGGTCACTTGCTTTGGCCTTGAGTGAGCAGAAGGGTGTGAAGTCCCTCAGTTTTGAGTTCAGTATATGGTGGTGGTGATTAAAGGCAGCTCTGGGAAGGAGGCTGGCAGATTTTTTATTCAGGATGGTCTTTTTCCTCTTGGCCCACACAAGTTGCCATGAAGGAAAATGTACAACAGGTGTAAGCCTCCATCCTGAACGGGTTTTATTTCTTCTGAGCTTGGATCATCTATAAAGGAGTTCAGGAGCCCAGTAAAGATTCAAACACGAGTTTTGGCCCTTGGTTGCACTCTGGAATCCTTGGACTTGTTGCTTAAAACTCAAAACCAAAAGGCCAAGGTGGTGATGCGGGTTTCCTTGTCCCTGTGTGGGTGATGCCCGAAACTGCAGGATGCCATGGAGGGGTTCACAGACATGTCACAGAAGGAGTCCCCAGAGCCCTGCTCATTATTTGAAGCCCAGCTGAGACCAGCATCAGTTCTGATCGTTGATCATGGCAGGCTGTTGTTTGGCAGTGAATAAGTTCTGTGCTGGGTGGGGACAGGCTGGGGTATGTTCAGATTGTTGCTGTCCCTGCCTGACTGCCCTGTGCTGTTGCAGTATCAGCATCACTACCTCTTGCTACCCCCTCCCCTCCATCTGCTTCCGGGACCCTGTGAGCGACTGGTTTGAGAGCCTGGCTGAGTGCCTGCACTGGAACGTCCGCAAGAAGCAGAACAACTTCGCCGTGGAGGAAGAAGAATTCTGAGTGTCCACTCCCAGCAGGGCTCATGGCAGTGGAATGTGGCAGAATCCCTCCCCTCTGCTTGGATTTTGGAGCTTTTGGTGTGGGCACTGCCCCAGAGCTGCCTTGTGGTTGTGGTTTATATCCCTCAGTGGCTGGGAAGGGTTGTGCTCCTTCCTGTCCACCTTGAGGAAAGCCCTGATGGTTCTAATCCAGTGTGAATTTCCTTCCAAAGGAGCAGTCTGAGAGTGGATTATCCCCGATTGCTATCAAAAACCACATCTGCAGATTTGATTGTAACCTCTGACTTACCAGTTCCATGGTAGGCTGAATGTAGCTACACCAGGGAAAAGTGGCATTAAAATTTCTTTCATCTTATAGGTTTGTAACTCCATTTAACACTGCTAGGAATAGAAAGGCTCTGAGTTTTCTTTAAAGAAAAAAACAACTCCTCTTTGTTATTTTAAATACACCTTGCCCAGAAAATACTTTCTTACTTGCAAATGAGAAACGCCCACAAAGGATGTTTTTTATTAATACATGGAATTAGTTTTAAAAAGTATATATTTTTTATATATACATTTCTCTCTCTTGTATCCATTTGAGCAGTAGTTGACACTTGGCTGTCAGCACTGTGGAAATACCCACAAACAGCAGGGATGAGCATTAATTATTACAGGTTTCTCTGGGTTTGTAGCTGAGCTGATTCACAGCTCTGCGCTTCCTCTTGGTGGGAATCATCCAGGTATTGGTTTTTCTTACTGTGTTTCTTTGATTTCCTGGGATAAATGGTAGCATTAGAGACTATCATGTTTAAAAAAAATAATTGTCCAAGTGTTCAAGAAGAGTCTGGACTTCAATTGCTACTGAATTCTGGTTCCATTGTTGTACTGAAGAAAATATCCTATTCTAGATCCTGAATGCCCTCAACTTCCATGGATACCTTCCAACTCTTGGTGCTGAGTAATCCAGGATGGGATTCTGCATTGGTGGGCTGGAGAAAGGAGAGGACACATTCCCTGTGGAGTAGCAACGGTGCCTTCAGCACGCTCAAGATATTCTAAGTCTCACATTTACTTTTTTTTAAGATGCTTTCAAACATTTCTAACTTCTCTCTGTACATACTTTTTGTGTTTTTATGAAAGAACAAAAAAAAAACAACCCGAACTGGTTGGGAGAAAAAAGGGTTTGTACTGTACTTTAACTGCAAAATAGCAAGCCCAAGGATAATGTTTACATTTATGTTCTCTGTGGTGCAGTCTCTTGATCATATTATCCAAACTTCAGCATTTTCAAGTCTTGCTGCATCGCTCACTAAAGGAAGGGACAGGAGCTGTTCAATGCCTGTTGGCAGAATCTTGCCAAGGAATGAATTTACTGATTGAGGTGGGATTTCCTTGGGAACTGAGTGAGAGTCTCTGCTGAACTTTTTTTCATGATTGTCTTACATTGTTTCTGTGGTCCAAAGTGGAAATGGGTTCATTTCCAAACTCTGCCTGACCCATTGTCCTCTGGTGGTTTCAATAATGTCTCATCCCTTTTGAATGCTGCCCTGGGCTGAGTTCATGAAATGCAGGTGAGAGCACTTTTCCAGAAAAGAGAAGCAAACTCTTGGGTAATGATTCAAATCACAATGAAAGTGTGTTCATATAAATTAACACTTGGTTTGTACATTTTGTAAAATAGAGTATTGGTTTGATTTGGTCAAAACTAGATGGATTTTGGGATATCTTGGAGAATATCCAGAGAACTTTTGCGATTTATCTTTCACTTGAATCTGCAGTAATTGTTTTATCACTGCTTTGAAGCTGCTTACGGGTTTCCTAACTGGAGTATTCAGTTATTTGATAACTGGTTACTTTTTGAACTAGAGAAGTGTCAGGCTTTTTGCTTTGAAGCTATTTTATTTAAACATGCAATAATTGAGGGAAGGAACAGGGTATGGTGTCTAGAGAAACATGTGGATGAGTGGAGAATGAATTCTAGGCACACTGGGGAGTGGAAAAATCATTTTGCAGAGGTGAAATGATTTATGAGCCTTATCTAGTATTTTTTTAAAGATGAAACTATATTCAGCACTTTTTATTTATGCTTTTTATAATAGTAAAGCTATTCTTGACTAAATTGCTGAACCTTTAATTTTCAGAATGCACAGGTCATTAAATCTGTAATCAAAGTGTACTGAACTACTTTAGATCTACATTAGACTTGAAATTTCTTCTTTCAGTTTATCACCTGCTGCAATTGCATTGCTGGCTCTGAGGCTGCTGCAGCTTTGCTTGTAGGGAATTCCTGCTAAAAAAAGGCTTTTTCTGGGTGGCTGCTGAGCCCAGGCAGAGCTGCAGCCCTGGCTCAGGCAGGGGCAGGCACTCTGACTTTAGTCCAGGCTTTTCCTCCAAAAGCTGCCTTGATTCTCCCTGGCCAAGCTGCTTCCACAGCCCAGGTTGTGTTAATACATCACAAAGTTTATCTGAGTGTACAGTCCCTTTCCAAGGCTTTTAATCTGCAAACTGCAGGAGAGTGAGGCTGGAGCAGCCCTGGAGTTATGCATTTGAACTGCTCCGGGAGTGGGGGAGCTGAACCAGAAAAAAGCTGGTATGCACCTCACTTTATTGGCAATAAAACTTAATTTTGCTTATGTAGCTTATTCAGAATAACTTGGTTAAACTGTGCTAAAAAATGGGGGGTTGCTGATTAAGAGTTTTTGATAAAAGGGTTTGTAAGTCACTGGCACTACAAATCCTTTCATCTACAAAGGGCCAAAATGAAATCTGGGAAATTAATTTGTGGGTTTTTTTTTAAAAAAAAGTTACCCTCTGGTAGAAATTGAAGTTATTACCAACTGTAGTAAGGAATAAAGCAGTGTACTGAATTTTTAAAAGATGAAAAATCCTGTTACGTATTGTTAATGCATTGAAAACTTGGTTTTAAATATTGTTGAGAAACAAAATATTTTTCAATCCTTTCAATAAAATCTTTTTGTAAAGTTTGATTGGTCGATTTGCCCTTTGACTGGGGAGAATATAAAAATTGTGAATTCCCAATCAGTTGCTTGGAATTGTGTGGGGTTTGACGCTTCTCAAGGGACAGTAGCACCTGTTTTCTGGGAATACACCAAATGCTTTTTTGAACATCTTAATACCAGGTTTTCCTCAAAAGTCTCAAAATAATTGCTGAATTTGCTGTGCAAATTGTAACAAATCTTGTGTACAACCAGCTGGGCTGCATTAAATACTGTTTTTAAAGGCCCAGTAATAGAAATAGGAGGAAAGAAATAGGTAAGGGCAGTACTGATCAAATAATCTGATAATTTGGTATCCAGGAAGTTTAGAATTAAAAATGGGGTTCAAATGCTTGTGGCGCATTCTGATGAAGTTCTAGATGCTTCTTCCCCAGAACTTGAGATTAATGGTGATGTTTAAGAGTCTTTTGATTTCATAATTAATCTGTAACTCATTCCAACAGTTGAGAGAGATGTGAGGAGATGTCTTTTGCAGTAAAGCAGCTGCCTAAATTTAAATTGAGTTTTTGTTTGACAAGGAGATGCCTTTTACAGGTAAATTAGTTGTTTTTCAGTGAAGTTTTTGTTTGACAAGGCACCTTGGACAGGGTTTTCCATCTTTCCATGCTTGGCTGGTGACAAACTCTTTGCTGTCCATGATCAGAGCCCTTTCTGTGACTGACACTGTGGCCTGGCCATAAAAGACTTCCTTCACCTCATTCTGCCCCAACAGAGGCTTTGTGCAAGAGCAGAGCCTTCCCCCCTGCTCTGGGCATGCCCTGCTGCCTGGGCTCTGCTGAGAGGAGGACTGAAAACATTACATTGTGATCTTCAAATGTTTAATTCTTCCATCAACCCTGGTGCCACTGGGACTTGTGGGATGAAGTTTCAGAGGCAGCTGCTGTTCTGTCAGCCCCTGCAGTCTGGTCACACACCATTAACCTTTTCCTGCCTCCCTTGGGCTACAGATAAAGTAGATTTGATTCAGGTTTAGGAGATCAAGATGAGAAAAATACCTATTTGTTACAGAAGTTCTGATTTAGATGGCTAGGATGAGAAAAAAAAAAAAATTACAGCACTTTTGATAGAATCCTTGTCAATCCCCCTAATAAGCTGTAATAAATTTTTGTTTTTTGCAATGTCCAGCTGCCTGCAAATAAAGCTGTCTGAAGCAAAGTGTAATGGCAATGTCTACATTACCCATGAATTCCAGTCCCAACCTCTTCCTTATTCAGTTTTGTAAGGGATTTCCCACTGAACTGGTGCTGTTCCTTGTGAAATAATTACCTATACACAAACTGTGCTTGTACTTTATTAAAAAATAGCCAGTTAAAGGTTTCAGTCAATAAAATACCAAACTTTTAAATTACAATATTAAAGGCATAATTGGAACAGTCCCCTGGTATGAAATGGCACCTTGGTTACACTGAGGGAGGGGTGAGGTTACAGGGAGTAGTTTTTATGTGTAGCTGGGGTTAAAAAACAAACAAAAGTGAAATGTTCTAAAGCCAGAGGAGGAAAAGGAGCCCTAAACAGGGGACACCACTGTCACCAAACCATTAGGGCTGGACCTGCTCAGCAGTAGATCCAAGCTGGGAACTGATGGCATCACAATCCCCTTATAGATTTGGGTACAGAGGAAGGGTGTGCAAATTTCCTTCATGATGTTTGTGTCTATCCAGGCAAAAAGCATTGAAAGGAGCACCATTTCCCACTCGTGCAGGTGTGAACCCCTGTGCTTACAAAGCAGCAAAACAGGAAAAGGAGTGAAAGCTGCTTGGTCCTGTCAGCAAGATCAGCATATTTTACTTTCTAAGCTCTGTACCACCTGCACTGCTCCAAGGAACGTGTGACATCTTCCTGAACCTTCTCCATTCTGGGAAAGTGATCCTTTATTGCCACCCTGGCTGCAGGTCCTTGGTCAGGAGTTCCTAGGGTGGCTTCACTCTGAGAGCTGCAGGGGGAGCATGGGGAGGGCTCAGGACTCAATCCTTCCATAGGAAGAAAACACTGTGGGAAGAGAGGGAGCTCAGTCAGCAGCACTGCAGGGGCTCTGTGACCCTCAGGGAACAGGAGCTTTAGATTGCGTCACGGCAGTGCTCCCACATCCCTTTACTGTCCCTGCATTATACAGCCTGAAATATTGCAGGTAGACCGAGATCTGCTCACACAGGTGTGATTTTTTTGGACAGCAGCATTTCTTTCTCAGGTTGGCAGTACCTTTCTTCAGGGAAAAGCCACACCTGTTCCACCCAACTTCTAAGCTTTGTCAACCTGGTAATTCTGAGGCTGCAGAACTGCTTGATTGGGGATCTGCCTTCTCCTGTGATTATCTCTAAGGATTTTCCTGGCTATTTTCCTGTGACCGAACAGGCTCCACCTTCCCCAGTGAATTTTTGGGGTACTTACTTCTCTCCCTCAGTCCCTGCCCAAAGCTGCGGTAGACATGAACCAGAGCCCAGAACAGAACAGATTTTATGGTGACAGAAATGCAGGAGCCAGTGATGAAAGCAGCTTCCAAGGTGTAAGAATTGCCTTTGCCCCACTCCCTTATCACCTGCAGGAAAGGGAGACATGAAACCATCACCACCTCCTGCAACAAAGCCTCAAAGCATAAGCTACAACATGCAGCTGGGCACTGAATTTCTTACCAGGTGGTAACTGGGGAAAAAGAAAAACCCAACCGGTCACTTTGAAACCATCTCAGTTTTCTGATTTTTATGATGTATGGACAGTGTGGAGTCCCGCTGTGCTCTGAGCAGCTCAAGCAGGCCTGGAATAATGGGAAGCTCCATTTGATAAATGGATCCCTGAGGTTGTGGGTGGCTGCAGCCCCTGGGTGTGAAGGATAAGAAGCACTGGCCACTCTCAGCATTCCAGCCCTGCCCAGGATGAACAGCCTGGCTTCCCCTTGCCCTCTTCTCTCCTCACCTCTGTTCACACATCTTGTGGGAGGTTCCCACTGATAAACGTTTTAGCAGTGTTACAGAGCCAAACAACTGCCCCAAACTGGAGTTTTTTGGGTTTGCACTGCCTTGTTTTGGCTACAACAGGATCCACAGCTGTGGATGCTGCCTAAGAAATTCTTTAAAATACAACAGCTGAGCCCTGGTCAAATGCTCTGTCACCACTTGAGGGTTGTGAAGCAGGGGAGGCATTTTTGAGGAGTTGTTTATCTTGAAGATTTTGTTTCATCTTTCCCTCATCATTCTTTGCAGGGACTTCCAGAGCCTCTCCCTCCGTTCAGTTCAAGAGCAACTTGACTTGGTTCCTGTCCTGAAAAGTTGACCCTGGAGAGGCAAGATGTGCTCTGCTCTCTTTAAATCCAGCAGGAGCTGCAGGGAAGGGGTGAGGCAGCACCTTTGGGGCCTCAGGAGGAGGGTGAGACCCCCAGCCTTGCTCCCCTTACCGTGTAGAGCAGGTAGATGAGATTAACCACCTCAGGCACATTCTGAATCAGAAATACCCACACCAAAGGTTTCAGCTCTTTTAAAATCTGAAAAATAAGATGAGATACAGCTTTTTAAGTCGTTGCTATATACTCTATGAAAGCTGCATGTTTTTCATAACATTTCCACTATTGGTTTAGCTGAGTTCTCAATTCTAGCTTTGCTCTCCACTTCCCTTTTCCACCAGTGTTTTTTAGCAGGAAATTCAGCTTGTTTTCCCAAGAGCTGGGCCAGGAGTGATGATGACCTTTCTCTCTGGGCACACTCAGATTTTCTCTAGAAGCTGAATGTTTTCATAGGTAAGAGACTGAAAGCTCCCTGTGACTTTTTCTCCACCTTTCTTTTTACTACAGAGAAGTACAGTCACTGAGGAGCGAAGTGTGGGAGAAGCAAGAGGATTGAAGTGTCAGGAGAATTTAATTTCACAATTCACAATGGGACTTGAGAAAGAAGAAAAGGGACTGCAGCAGCCCTGTGCTGGAAGGGCAAGTCTGAGCAAAGGAAGGAAAAGCAGCTGAGTCACTGGGGGTGACAGCAGTAACTGTGCCAATGTTAGGATTGGATTTTATGCATCTGATCAGTACCAGATTCCCCCCAAACCCAAAAGTGATGTGTTTTAAAAGCACAATTTCAGCAAAACACATAGGGAGCTGAATTTCAGCTGTCAGGAATTTGTGTGGATGACTAAAGCAAACACCCCAGGAGCCTAAAACAATATCCACCCCCAAAAACCCCTAAACTCCTTCCTGGTAATAAAAAACTCACTTATCTGATGTTCTTTGGCCCTGATTCTGCAATCATTCTTGAAACAGAGGCTCAAGATTTCAGAGGACGTTCAGTCTGACATGAAAAATGACGTTTCAAGTTCACAAATCTTTGGGTTAACCTGGAAACTGTTTCTGAGCTGTGAAAGAGATGCCCCAATAAAGGATCCCTCATCTTTTTGGTGTGGTTTCCTAATGATTTAAGGCCTCACTCACTTTGTCTGTAACACTGTAATAATTTGGGGGACTGCTCCCGGTGTCACTCAGCCTTGGCAGAGAGGCAGAACTGCTGAAGTCAGTGTGATCCTCCAGATTTCATTAAAGTGATCAAGGACTGAGACTAAAACAATGTCCCTCAGAATGGTACAATGATAATGTGACTTTGTTTCACTCTGTGTGCTCAATTTAGACCCAGATTTAGACAAAACCTCGCTTCAATATTGTGCTCTGCTTTTCTCCATCCTGGCTCCTTTCCCACCCTGTGGGAATCCCTCAGGGTGAGGATGGGCAGTGCCAGGGGCTGTGTGACCCTGATGTTCTCTGCAGCTGCACACTCACTGCAATGATGCCCATGGTGACCTTCAGGCAGGCCCAGACGATGCCCGTGGCTGAGATGATGTTGTGCAGCAGGGTGATCTCATGCAGGCTGATCAAGAGGATGCACAGGCACAGCTGAGGGAGGCAAACATTTGATGAAATCATTCTTGGAGACCCTGCAGCCCCACCAAAAAATATCTGCCACAAACTCCATGCAACAGCAAGTTAGGCACAGGTCTAAAAGCTGAAATTATTCCTCAAACAAGGACAGAAATACTTCCCTGAATAACAGCAACCAGAAAGAACAGGGAGAGCAGATAAAGCAAAGTAATGCAGCAATAAATAAGGATGAGAGGTGCTTACAGAAGTAACAGATCTTGGGTTCACTTCCCCTATCTGTATCCCCTATCTGTAACTTAATTTTCTGTCTTACTGCCCTGCTGGTCAAGTTCCCCTCTCCCACCCCAGAAACATTTCCTCAATGCAGGAGGCATCTGAAAATCAGGAGACTGGAGGCTGAGATGAGCAGGAATAATCTTGCTCAGGAAGCCATGGGTGGGTTGGAGCTCCTGGATGCAATTGTTTTTAGGGATAAACTTCCCAAAAAGAAGCTTCTGATCTCCTTTTGTGCAGGACAGTGATAAAATATATTTTGATTCATTTTTATGGACTTTAACTAATCTACGGCAAACACATGGAGCTACAACCATTATTAAGTTAATATAACAAAGGTAAGAGAGGATTGCTCTTGGAATGGAATAATTCAACTCAGCCAGTCCAAGATCTTATCAATAAAAGGGAAAAAGGGAATCTGGGGGCCAGAGCTCTGTACCTGTGCCTGCAGATCAAAAGTGAGCATGGAAAAGCAGAGGTTGAGCATGAAGTACTGGGACTGGAGGCTCTCCAGGGCACCCCCTACTCGGAATGCCATCATGGACTGGCTCTGGATGAGGATGAGGGCACAGATCACATCAAAGGAGCCCACCAGCAGGATCAGCACAAAACGGGCCTGAGGGAAGAGAAACAGGATGGGATTGGCCACAACAGGCTGGCACTGGAATCCAGCTGGAAATACAGACAGGAGTAAGAAAATCTTCACAGAGACCAGTTCTGAGCTTCCTGTTGGAACAAATCAACCTTTCCCACTGGGGACAGGGGACTACTCTCAGTGCTGGACTTGCAGAATTACAAGAAACACAGGTTTGTGTCTGTTTGTGCCCACTTTGCTGGAATTAACACTCCGTTTCTCCTGCTTTAAGGATGGCTCAAGTGGCAAAACATCCTTCAGGATTACACTGATATGAAAATATTTATAACTAGAAATTATTGTGGCTCAGGAAGCAGAGTTACTTTAATCCAAGTTACCGCTAGAGTAGTAAAAAAACCCCTAATAGTACTTTCCACATTTATACCAGGCTTTACTTTGAAGTTCTTGTTTAATATTTAAACTGATGACTTGGCTGTGCATCTTAAAAGTAACCTGCATTTTTTGATGTCTGTTCTTTATTGACCCTACCAACCCAGTTTGCTATAGATAAAGTTGTTTAACTGAATGTCTAATTGATAAATAAACTGAATTGGCAAAGCTGCTTTTTCTCCCTCTCCCTTGCTTGGCTGCCACCTCTCCTGCTGAAGAATAATTTTTGGATGACTTCACAGCACGGAAGCACCTTGTTGAGAAGTATGTGATAAAAAGAAAGCATTTCCTGGAAGCACAACAAGTGGAAATTTAACTACAGACCTCAGTAAGGCCTAGAATACAATCCTTTAATTTTTTACTGCTATAAAATGCAAACAAGATAACATGGAGTGGCATTATTGCATCTTTTTGTTTCCTTGCAGGTTCCCATAAATCTCATAAAAACACATTTATGAGCACTGGCTAATGGCTGTGCCCACAGACTGGGGATTCCAGTTCTAGCCTAGGTTAGATTTATGTTACTTCAGGCCAGACATTTCACAGAGAGAAATCTGAAGCAGGGTAGGTGAAGGGTACATTTTACAGTAATTTTGTGTAATTCTTTGGTATTTCTGTTATTTTTGGGTGCTGCCATAAGGAAACTCAGAGAACAGCTCAGAGATTTGCAGTTGTGGGTGTGCACATTTTGTTGTTCAATAGGGACAATTCAGCCTGACTCTGTTATCAGTAACAATAATACATTAATATATAACAATTTATATACATAATATATAATATATATGATTATACCATGCATATAATTATTATATACAATTAAATATTATATAATATATACTATACATATAATTATATACTATATATAAAATATATTAAATATAATAAATGTAAAAAATAAATAAGAACTAAATAATGAATATATAAGAAATAAAAATAATAATATATATAACAGTATATATATAATATATATAATATATTATATATTATATATAATAGCATATATATACTATATATATAGTATATATAATAGCATATTTTATATATAACACAATACTATTATATAGTAATATGTATTAATATATATAATAATTTATTTTTATATAAATGTCTGTTACCACAGACATCTTGCCTTCCTGACGACAGATTTTCAAACCCAAGCTGTGAGGGGAAGGAAAAGCTGGTTAAAAGCAGGAGACTGACCAGGAGTTTTGGCTTCTGCTCAGCAGGGAGCACAGTGAAGTTGATGATGGAGCGGAGCATCACAAGCAGGATGGAGAGCACAAACACAACGAGCTCCTGGCGGTTCTCCTGCAGGATGCCCCTGCTCACATAATACACACAGAACACTGAGGAGGAGAGGGAATGTCAGTGCCAGCTCAAACAGGGGAAAAATTCCCTATTTTGGAGCCAAAGTGGAAGGATCAAAGTGTCCCTGAGGCTCCTTGGTCTTTGTTCTTACCAAGGAGCTTGAATCGTCTAATTAAAACATTCCCCACTGTGTTTAGCATACAATAAATTAAATAATTAGTTGCACTAATTACTTGTGAAGTAACACTGTGAAAATGGAAGAGTATTATCCAAACTAGCAGCTGGGCTGGGTCATTCTATGAATACCACACTGAACATTATGTCCAGCTGTTTATTTGATTTAATAAAACAGCACCATTTTTGTTAAAGAACTGAAATCAAATCATCTTCCCAGAGTAATTCAGGTGACTAAAAAGCAGTTTATTACTCACACACATCCTCCACAGTGCTGCCTGTGTGGTCTGGCCACTGCACAGGGTTTGTGTGTGGAACTGAGCGTGGACTGGATTCAGTTTATTTAAGTGTGGAAATTTTGAAACACCCCACCCTGCAAACTATAATCCAAAAAATAACTGGGTGAGAACTGGTTTGAGTTTTATTTTTATAAAATACATCAAGCCCCCAGTCAGCTGTCACTGTGAATTTTATGCTTTTTTGGTAAAAAAATAAAGCAAAGGCTTTGTTCTTTCACAGGATGCTGCTGCAAATTCTTACCACAGTCAAAATAACAACAAATCTCTCTTTGCAAAGCACTGCTTCCTTAATTCTACACATCAACTCATCCAAATTTGTTGGGACATGGGGAAAAGCATTGTACAAATTTTCAAATTAAATAATAACTTCAGACTCCCTTAACAAACCTTCAGTAAATGAACTTCCTGTTTTACTGCCCTTAACAGGGACTGAGAAAATGAAAAAAATTATTGGCCAATTACAAAGCAAATCATGTGATTTTCTGGACATGACCTCAGGAAGACCTGAAAGGCTTAAGATGGTATTTCCTTTTTTTTGCAAATTCAGCTGCTAAATCCACAGAGATCTGTACAATTTGAAAATAAGCTCTTTTTTGGTCATCAGGCTTTTTGCAGAGATGGCATATGTACATGAAATTTCCTGAAATCCTCATGTTTATTATTTTCATGTTAACTTCTGTTTAATACAAATGGACCCAAGACATTCCTGCTGAAGCTCTGATTGGAAATACCCAAGGAGGGAAGCTTGGAGTGTGGACACCTGAATTCCCAGCATATTATGGCTCAGACACTAAAATAGGAAGTGGTGAGTTTTTCTGGCATAGCTGAAAATCCAGTATCTCTTCTATAATAGACTTCACTTGCTCCTTAATCACATCATTGTTATTATTATTATTATCATCACTGTTTTCATTATTTACTCTATCCAAACTGGATTTCTTACCAACTCCAACCAACTGAATAAAGGAAATGGTGAAATCCTCCTCAGTCTGGCGCACCAGTGTCTCTATGGTCAGCCCTATGACACTCAGTAGGGACAAAATAGTGACACAGAAGTAGATCTTCACAGGGAATGAGAGCTCTGAACATGGTTTTATCTGTAAAGGGAGAAAATTCTTTAACACATCCTGCAGAATAAATTCGTTGCTGTTCCTAAAAATCACATTGGGGCGAGTGGGGTAAATGAGGCAGTGCAGGGTTTCCTTTGGGAAGAGAAACTCCACAACTGGAATGAATCTCCCAAACTGCTGAGGAAGGGAGAAGTCTAACTTTATTTCATAATTAATCTCAGCCTAGATTGTCCCAGTTTATACCCACAGCCCTTGTGCCTCACAAGGCCATGGTATTATAATCCATAACATGGAGATTGCCAATGCCCACATATACACGTCAGAGCATGAAAATAACATTTTCCCACTCTTTTAATTCGAGAAAACTGTAAAGACAGGGCCAGCATGTAAGGCTGTAGTAAGGCTAAGTCCTATTTTCTTATATTAAAATACTTCAGGTGGAGCAACATCCTCACAGGAATTTAACACTTGCTTTGTTCAGCTGGAGGAGACTGAGGGGGACCTCAGGGTCTGCAGCTCCTCCTGAGGGACAGCTCCGATCTCTGCTCTGGGTCAGGACCCTAGGAACAGCTGGAGCTGTAGGTTGGATTTTGGGAAAGGTTCTTTTCCTAGAGGGTGCTGGGCACTGCCCAGGCTCCCCAGGGAATGGGCACAGCCCCAAGAGCTCCAGGAGCTGTCAGGGATGCCCAGGGTAGGATTTTCGGGTGTCTGTGCAGGGCCAGGAGCTGGATCAATGACCCTGAGGGTCCCCTCCAGCTCAGGACACTCCACGATTCTGTCAGCAGAGCTGTGATAAGCCTCGGCGCGCGGACACCTGACTCCCTGATCCACCTGACTTCGGAGGCGGATTCGAGACGTGTTTTTACATCCACCCCCCCGGTAGAGAAAAGCGGAAGACACCGGCAAGCTACCGCAGCAGCAGAGATGTACTCACGGGGCCGCAGGGCGTGGGGATGAGCTGCCGGTGCCGCGGGGTGAGATTGGGTAGGTTGGGCCCCGCCGGAGCCGCGGCGCCGCTGTGGGAGAGAGCGGGGCCGTCAGGGGGTACGTACCACCCCCACAGCGCAGGAGAACCGCCCACGAACCCCCACTCCCAGCACAGGCGCCTCCAGGCGAGGTGCGGGGAAAGCGCAGGGAGGCGCCCCCGTGCCGCCCGTGGTGTGGTGTGTCCTGGCCCGGCCGTACCTGCCGTCCATGGCGGCGGCCGCACGTCGCGTCCCGTCCTGGCGGCGGGTCCTACATAGCTGCGGAGGGGTCCCGGCGGCGCTTCCGGGGGCCGGCCCGCTTAGCGTCACTTCCCCGGCACGGCCTGGGAGCGCC